AACAAGGGATAAATAAATCCTCTAAACTAATCCACACGACTTTATGAAATCTATAGAATATATCATTGTATTTCACTGACCGAAACAAGGGATAAATAAATCCTCTAAACTAATCCACACGACTTTATGAAATCTATAGAATATATCAGTGTATTTCACTGACCGAAACAAGGGATAAATAAATTCTGTAAACTAATCCATACGACTTTATGAAATCTATAGAATATATCAGTGTATTTCACTGACCGAAACAAGGGATAAATAAATCCTCTAAACTAATCCACACGACTTTATGAAATCCATAGAATATATTGGTATTTTTTACTGACCGAAACAAGGGATAAATAAATCCGCTAAACTAATGCACACGACTTAATGAAATTCCTGAAACGGTGGCTCTGAAACTTTTTGTATCGCGGATCACCTGATTTTTCTTTACCTCATCGGATCACGATGTGATTTATACACTATGCTGCCGCTTTCTTTCGAAAGACCAAAGATTGAGAACCGTTGCTCTAGAATGTAGAAAACCAGTGAGATACTTGATAACGCAAGTCCTCAAATCCAACACTGCTCTCGGCTTTATAAAAACAAACACATAGATATAAATAAGGTTTCCCTATAAATACAAAATTGTTTAAAACAGGGTCTTACTTACCTCATCAAAGACCGAATGGTAGGACCAACCGCAGCACGCGTTAAAGTATTGCTTTATTGGCCAAACTAATAACTTTTAATGAACATCCAGTTTATAAGCTTATATATGTGTGTGTGTGTGTTTGCGCATGACAGTCAAGAAATGTTACGTCACGGGAAGGTGGGACTTTGAAATAATATAATTGATTTAATACAAATGAGGAAGAGGTCTACGCTGAACCTGATCCTCCCTGGTCCAAAACATGGACCGAATCCCGATGAAGAAATGTCTTTTTTAAATAAAAACATGGATATTATTTTTTGATGTTGAAATACTTCGATTGTAGTAATAACGTTGGGTTGTTGCTAAGCGCAAAGCTAAACAATGCACTGTTTGTTCGCTGCCCACCGCAGGTATCGAAAGCCGGTTTTTAACGTCGTAACCCTGCAGACTTACCGCTGAACCACTGGGGGCTTGTAGTAATAAGAAACTTGGAAAACCCTTTGCTTTCACAGAATAAGCAAATTTTCTATTTCATTATCTTAGACTTTGGATATATCTGCTAGAGATGAAAAAAAACTAAAACTAAATATTTTAGTTAGACTTATATTTTCAAATCTTTATTAAACAAACCCAGAAAGAACACAGGGGAAATAATCTCAAAATATAAATTAATTTTAGTTCAGGCTTAAGCATTCATACTCCATTCTAACCCAAAGTGGTCGTTGTAAAAACACAATTCAACACCTCAATCACATAACGGAAGACCAGTTGAGTGACGTCACTGTCATATCTGATCATTGTGGATTTTGATAGCTAGGAAAATAACGATAAATACATCTGTATCTGAAACATCTGATCAGGCTATAGTTAACGTACTTATTATACTGTGTATAAATTTAATGTTAGTGTAGACACGAAATATTCCGATTTTTATTGCGGAACTAAAAGCCACCTGTCGTCAACTTGGTATTTTCCATTCATAGATTTGTAAGATAGAGAGAGATCGATTCTGGTTCTTTTACTAATGATAAAGTAATAGTTCGAAACTAAGTTTTCTAACAAAAGGTTCTTGTGTTGGTAGAGTAGGTACGATACTACAGGTTTACAGTGGAGATATAGGGTTGATTTTACATTGAACGGATATGGAATAATCAAACAAGTATTGACGTTCGTCAAGTAACTGTAATTTCGTGCTATTGTATTTACGATTTGAATATCTCTTGGGCAGTAATATGCTGTTAGAAATCTTCAGGTGTTTTGAATGATATCTGTTTGGTTGTTGTTTTTTTTTAAATGTTTTGCACAAAGCTATCTGCGCTAGCCGTCCCTAATTTTGAAGTGATAAACTAGAGAGAAGGCAGCTAGTAAATACCACCCACCGCTAACTCTTGGCTATTCTAAACGGCCAAGTCAGTTTGTTTATTCATTTATAATTAAGCACAAAGCTACACAATGGGCTGTCTGTGCTCTGCCCACCACGGGTATGCTATTCAAGAAAGCTCTCAGTATTTAAGCCTTAATTTGTTGTGAAAATTCCGTTTAGTTGGTGTCGAAGTGATTTCACATTTTTCATTAAAGTTGTAATTCTTCTATTCTTTAGTTTTTGTAAGAAATAAAGATAATCGGATCGATCACAATCAATTTTGCTTTAAATTCCGCACATTT